AATACTGTTGGGTTACAGTGAATCTGACAGCTTGGGGCTTCAATTAATATTTGCCTTGGGGGGGAGGGGGTATCAATATTATGCGGTCTTATAATGTTTAGGAACATAATCTGAGTCCATATCGACCCCTATAATATTTGTACCCCGAGGTACAAATATTATAGGGGTCCTCCATGCTTCAACGATGGTTCTGATTCATTTGGGACCCCATGATATCTGTACCCCGGGGTATAAATTTTATAGGGGTCCTCCATGCTTCAACGATGGTTCTGATTCATTTGGGACCCCATGATATCTGTACACCGGGGTATAAATTTTATAGGGGTCCTTCATGCTTCAATGATGGTTCTGATTCATTTGGGACCCCATGATATTTGTACCCACCCCCTCCAGAATGAGTAAGTCATAGCGACGTCGTGAAAGGCGCCCTGGAGCACGCTCGCCCGCACCCGCACCCCTTGTTTGTGAACATAGACCCGATCGCATATTCCCCGCCTCGAGCCGCTCTCTCGCCGCCGCCGCTCCGTTTCTCCCCGGCGGCCCGGCGGCCCGCTCCGCTCATGTCGTGATCCAGCGACACGACTGCTGAGCTGACCGACGGCCCGATAAGACTGTCGCTAACGGTGATGCATGATATACGACTACCGGCAGCCGCACCGGCAGTGGGGGGGCGCTACGCCACGCCATACCCTCTGGTGCACCGGAGCCAATCGGTGTCCATCTCGGCTTACTATCTATTTGCGTCTATCACTGATTGGCCGAGAGCTCAGCGCGCGCATTCGCCGACACCACCGCCGCCGCCGTTTCCGGAACTGTATGCGCCGCGGTGACGGCTGACGGCGGCGGAAGGCACCACCGCGATGGGTATGTGGTGTCCCAAACCCCTTTACGGGGAAAAAGAAGGGGGGGGGGAAGGGGCGGGGTCTTGACTTAAGTACTTCGCAGCTCCATGTAAAACCATGTCAAAAAATTAGCTCTTTTCCGCGAAAGGAGGTAGGCAACGGTGCGACACCCGTGTGCGGCGGAGCCGAGCTTGCCTGCCACACAGGCGCTCGGCGGAACGCCTGGGAGGTAGGCAACGGTGCGACACCCGTGCAGTGCCGGACTGAAGTTGCCTACGTCGCAGGCGGCCGCTCGCCCATCCAAATGTCCCGTAATACAACACATCATATTGCGCGAAGGTCAACAACACTGACCGTTGGTATCACGGTAACAGCAGCACTACTTACTGCAGGCATTCTCGTCGGACTCGTCCTTGCAGTCGGGCTTGTCGTTACAGAACAGCTCCTTGTCGATGCACTCGCCGTTGCCGCAGGAGAGCTTGCCCTCCGGGCAGACGGGCTCGTCCGTCTTCAGGCGGGGCAGGACTTTGCGGGGCTCTGCAACGCACAGTGCTCGTCAGCGGCTGCCGCGTGTGGGGAGCCCGGCTACGGCCACCCCGCCGTTAACTGTGCTGGGTTGGAAATTTCCGAAAACGTTCTGAAAATTTCCGGAAGAGATGGAAAATTTCTGGGAAATTTTCAATTTTTCCCCGAAAATGTGACGTTGTTTTCGGAAAGTCTCCGGAAAATTTCCGGAGTTTCAACCCCAAGTGTGAGTCGCGCACTTGTAGGTGAGTGAATGCCAATTCATACACCTAAGGGAGTAAAGGTGTGAATGTTTCTTTGACACTCACACACTTGTGCCTCCATGGTGTACGAATGGCGTTCACCACACGCCGACTAGTGTGTGACATTCACACACTGTGAGTCACACTTCACACAGTGAATGACAGGGTGGCCTCAGCGTGCTCACGCGGTCGAGAAAGTAGTAAATAAAATATCAATAAAGCCAATAGAGTCATAATACAGGACACCATGAAAGGAGTGGTAAATATAAAGTAAGGTCAAGGGATTTTCAGGCGTGAAAAGAAAATATACAAGAGCAGCCAAAGGAGGGAAAGCGGTGCACAATAGGCTGACGCATGCAAGCGAAGTGCGTTCAACAACAACTACTGCTTATTCTCATGCAAGCGTAATTGGGTTGTGACAAGTCGAATAAGGCGTCCAAGCAGTCTGGACTCTACGTCGTCGGAGTCGGACTTCTAGTTTCGTCAAGAGGAGGCCGGTGTTGCAAATTCGAAATGATCATATCCGGCCCAGATAAGCGATTCGGATGCGCCGGATCACGTGCTTTACGTGCACAGAGTGCCTCTCCGGAAACCGGAACTTAACCCAAAATTAAATCAGACGCAGTCGGTCCTCGGACACTGTTCGTCAAAACCTTGACCCAGCAGGCTGATGAGAGTGTCGATCTCATTTTCAAAAAGATAATCGCCCGCGACTGATTGGTGTTGAATATTAAATACCCAATCTTTGGTCGCAAAATGTGACAGGACTCAATACACGCCGGGCACTGGAAACGCAAGTGTGTGAATGCGTCGCACACTCGTATGTGTGTAAATACCCATTCGTACACTTAAGAGAGTAAAGGTGTGAATTTGCCTTCGACATCCACACACTACTCGTGCCTCCATGTGTACCCATGGCGTTCACACTTTTCCAAGTGTGTGCGACATTATTTAAACATTTGGGTTTCCGCTGCGGTTCTCCTCCAGCCTGGGCAAAGGTTCACCGGGAAGCGCTCGAGGGCCGGCTGCTGCTGAGAGCCCGACCTTATTCCGACCTCCGCCACCTCTGCAATGCGAGTGTCTACAGTGTAGACGCTACACTTACTGTCCAAACGGTTACAGTTGGTCACTTTACCCTTCCAGTCACAAGTTTGCTTATCAACGTCGAACGCAAGACCGGACGGGCAAGTGATTTGCTTAATACCAGCCTTAGTGCACCTGAAGAGGACAGCCAGAAGGAGAATCAAATCATTAGTGGAGAGCAAAGAGGGCAGAGAGAGAGAGAGAGAAGGAGAATGTCGGGCCAGTCTCGGCGGGCGCAGCGGCGCGGCCACAGCTCGGCGCACGGCAGCACTCGCGGACAGCGCGCCCGGACAGCGGGTCCGAACAGCCCCCGGGGGACCAGGTCAGCAGGCCAGAGTCAGGACAGAGTCACGCACACACACATAGACAGAGGAAGGAGAGAGACGAAGGAGGCGCGCCAGCCCGGCCAGCCTACTTACTCTCGAGTTGGTTACAATTTTTCACATTGGTTTTCCAGTCACAAGTCTGGCGCTCAATATCAAAAGCTAGGGCGTTGGGGCAGCGCACACCCGCGAGCCTGGTCACACCGTTCTCGCTCGCCTTGTCGCACCTGGATAGGGCGGATAGGAGGAACACATTGAGACATCTGCGGAGTGCGGAGGTTTTTTTTTGTTTTGTTTTGCTTTTTTTTTCAAAATTTTCTTTTAATTGAAATGGGTGAGCTCTGACAAAGATAGCGTTAATTCTTTAAGAAAAAATAACTTCGTTGGACAGTCACTGCCTGTTATCATTGTCTATTTTTATTGTGATTCTAGGGACTTTTGGGGGAAGGGGGACAGATATGACACACGCACACACACACTCGCTCTCACACACAGTGCTGTAAGAAGTTCATAAATCTGAAAAATACTAAACTAAAAAAAAAGGAATTGAAAAAACATGAGCCGCAAAAAACAATCA